GAGATTCATAGTGTAATATTTTAAAATATTATTTATTATTATGATTATTACCCAATTTTATTGATTTATTGGCGGTGGGTACCGTTAAATACTGTTTAAGTATGAACAGTACTGTTATTGCAGGCTTTCACTCAGCTGATAAAAGTTTTTGAATCTCATTATTTGCTCCACATGGTGGTCAAACACTGACCGGCCACAAGTCGAGCATCGACACTAATCTTGACCGTTGGTTACCCTGTGTGCTAGATGCCAAAAAAAAAGATATCGTTTTGTATCTGTTCGACCTCACGATAATTATCGGTGCATGCGGTACGTATGTTTAGCAGGATGCGCCTACGTATATGGCGTAAATCCTTCCAATTAAAACATGAGTTGTATTCTTATTTTCAGCTTGTCCGCCTGATTTCTTTAACGTAACGTGGTTTGCTTCATTACCATCGAATATTCGTGTACAGCGGTGTCCTCATGGGTCTATTGGTAAGCACAAGTTGCCAAAGTAACGTTGAGCTGGGAGAGAAGGGGGATTCGTTCACACGTTTGAACCACCCCTCGCCACCCCTTATTTATTTATTTATTGATTGATTGATTGATTGATTGATTCTTTGTTTGTTTGTTTGTTTTTGTTTTCTTTTGTCTTGATTTGTTTTGTTTTGTTGTTTTTTGTCCTTATTTCCGTATATGTCTCTTTATGGAGAAGAAAGTCAGTTGTCATCTCATTTACGATAGGAACAGCAAGAAGAAGGTGTAGCGAGAACGGCCAATGGGAACACCCTGACTACACACAGTGTGTCACCCAAGATATATTGGACCTAAAGCACAGGGTCAGTAGATGTTCGTGCAACACGCACTCTCTTCATATTGACAGACCCAGGGCCCGGTCGTACGAAGTCTGGATAGCGCTATCTGGCAGATAAATCCTTATCCAGTGGATAAGTCGATGCTGTTATCCAATAGATTTATCTAGGGTTGTCTCAATGTAGATTCAATGTGTTAGTTAGCCATGCTCTGACTTTGATCGGCCCAGAGGTTGTTTTAAGGTTCAAACTGTGAGTTAGCCATGTCCTGACTTAGGTCAGCCCAGAGGTTGTTTCAGGGTTCGATCTGTGAGTAACCATGCCCTAACTTAGGTCAGCCCAGAGGTTGTTTCAGGGTTCGATCTGTGTGTTAGCCATGCCCTGACTTTGATCAGCCCAGAGGTTGTTTTAAGGTTCAAACTGTGAGTCAGCCATGTCCTGACTTTATCAGCCTAGTATAATAAAATTTGGAGGATGTGTCCCGTCTTGATCACCATCTTGATTTTCCAGATGGACACAGCGCTGAACAAAACCACTCCTTCACCGAGCGAGATACAATCCATACTGGATGATTTAGTCCGGAAGTCTCACCGTGAGAAAGGCGACGCTAAAATAGCGGGTGATATCAAAACCTGTACTCAGATACTCAAAGAGGTCGTTGATTATAATACCAAGCACACGGGTGATACGGAGACAAATGTGGATAATATACGGGTATGTGCATAACTAGTTGGTAGCAGGCTTCGAATTTTTTTATTTTATGCGGAATCCCTGTGTATATGACGGGAAACTCTAGGCATGATAAGCATGCGCGTATGTGTTGGCGGGAAAATGGTACTTTGACCTTCTCTGGCCAAGACCTTGCAACGTCATCGTTACATAGTTCTAGTTATTGGTTTTCTTACTTCTTTTTCATCCATCCCTCCATCCATTTATTCATCCAGCTATCAATTTACTGACTCTCACAATCCGTCCATTCATCCATCCTTGCGTCCGTCGTCCGTTTATCAGTCTTCCATTCATCCATTCTTTCATTCATGCATCAATGCATGCGTGCATCCATCCATCCATCCACTTCAAAAATTAATATTTCCCTCCTTCCTTTCATTCTTCCATCTTCTCCTTTCATCCCACCCTMTCATCCATCCATTTTTCTCTTAAAATTTCATTTTTTCAATTATTCCTTCCCAGAACTTCTTGTCTTCAGCAAGTAACCTCCTTGATTACGAAAATAAACAAGAATTGGTGATTTTACAAGAAGTATGCCTATCATTCTTATTATCGACTGTGCGCCATTTGATTACAGTTTCATTAATCAATTATTGCATCTTCTCCTACAGTCTGACAACATTACGTCCCTTTTGATCTACGTGCTGGAAGGATTTGGTCTACAAGCAGCTGGAGGACTAGAAACTAGTGCAAGTCGCACGAAGCAATACGTTGCTGATAACTTAGGTAAACTGACCAGTCACGTGACAATTGATTTACCTGTTCATAACTTGAAGGCAGCTAGTGAAATGATGTGATACCATCTTCATCATCATCATCTTCATCATCATCATCATCATCATCATCATCCACATCATCATACACTAATTAATTCAAAATATATTATCATAATTAACAACAACTACATGATTTTATGACATTTTACTTGTCTTATTAGTTATGGGTATAACACTGGTGTCGATGGCGTCACCTGATGACGTCACATTCCCCAATTACACCGATCAGCATATGACTTCACGGTCTGAGTGGAACTCGATGCTAGAAAAAAACTACATAGTTCTACCCAAGTCTACATTCGACAGCAATAACAAAATAAAGAACAAAGGTAATGTTGAAAATAACCTAAGGCTCTGGTCAATCGTCGAACTTCACATGAGCCGAACCTAATTGAAACAATGGATAACAAGGCGGTCTTTTTTTATGTCATTGGGTTCGGCTCAGTTGAAGTTCGACGTTTGTATTTGGTCTTATTTCCAATAGACCAGTCTACTTTGGACGTATTTTTTCCCCATTTCAGACCACGTATCTTTTTCTTTAGCACTATTACTTTATTTACTGGTAGTGCTTGGAATTCATGATACATATTATGGACTTGACATAAATACACTATGTACAAATATATAAGTACAACTATGGACGCTTCGAATTTTGCAATTGTTAATTGAGATTCCTTCAATTGCTCGCTTACATTTTTTCAGTTCTTCCCAACAAACTGACACTTCATATTGTTTTTTGTCTTTTTAGTGAGCAGAGTTTCAAGTTTTCTTTACAGAACCCTATCAACATTTCTTAACATTCCTAGGTATGAATGACAGTTTTTATACAGACTTCTTTTGTTGTCCATAGAGGCTTTGCACCATCACGTGATAGCAACCATGGAAGGAGGCAGGAACAATAGAGCGTTTTCAGTCACGTGAGAAGGCAGCCATATTGGTGTACCACACAATAGAAACTTTCTGCACAGTTTTTGCATAAAAATAGAGTTCAATTCCTCGAGGATAGAAAATGTACACCAATATGGCCGCTGTAACGTCACGTGAAAAAACCCTATAGCTGTGTTATTACGGTTGAGCCCGCAATGAGATATTCTTTTGTTTTAAGAATAATACAAGTGAGACTATGGATCGATACAATGCTTGTCGTATCATTTGCACGCATTAATAATATCTGCCATTGAATCTGGTTTAATCTGATTTACAAAAGAAAGAATTCAGTTTCCCAGGAGAAAAAGACTATTGTTGTATTTTATCCTCACTGCATACTCATTACCGAGTCACGCGAATTAAGATATGGAAGGTGACCGCGACTGCTGGCAATGAGCATGCGAAAAGCATGCGATGCGTCGTCAACCGCCACCAGGGGAGGTAGGTGGGGTGAATCTTCTATTCTCTCCTTAGCCAGCTTCCGACGGAATGATTCAAGGATCTGGGTGTGACCCTTATATATGCAGGGGTCGCCAGGCATTACACCTGCACTGCGCAAACTCCAATGTCTATAAATGGGGGGTTGCTAAATTCCTACGTGAAACGCCAATTATGTATGCAGTGAGAATAGTGCCTGGCAATCTCTTGGCTCTGTTTTTTCGTAGTTTATTGTGAGCCAAAAAATACCTACGACCGTTCATTTTTTTTTTTTTTTGCGTTTGTCCAGTGCATATAGTAAGGTTGGTGATGAGTTCTTACTGAGTTCCAACGTAATATCTGCTTCTATTAAACCTTCTGTGTCGCTGAGGGATCCCGTCAAGACTATCTACGGTAAAGTTCAGGTAAGATACCGATAATTGCGTAGGTTGATAGGTCGATGGATGGGTGTGAGTAAGGTTATGGATATTGAAATAGTGTGGATGTAGGATTGGCTATGAGTAAAAAGTGTTTTGTAGTTATGGATTTAGGTATTTGGAATACTCCCTTTTCGAAAAATATATTTCATTTTCGGAAAACTGCGCATGCGCCAAAAATTGCATATTGTTATGGATCGATATTGGAATTGTTATGATTGGTTTCGGGTAGCTTCTGTCGTTTTACACTATCTTCACATTTTTATCAGGATCCAGACAAGCCTCTCGCCTGTGTCTTTTGGGATTTCAGTCTGTAAGTCACGTGTTTATTTAATTGGCCACCATGGTAATGATTAATACGGTTAAATAATAACAGCATTCATTTCTTCATAGAAATTCTAAAAAAGGCGCTTGGTCACGTGATGGTTGTAGTCTGTCGTCACGTGACGGCAGCAAAATCACGTGTGAATGTAATCACCTGACTAACTTTGCGGTACTGATGGATATATCTAATGTTAAGGTAGACATATTTTTTAATAATTTATTACTAATTAATTAAATATTAATAATAATTGATAGTTTTTCAAAATATTTTTTTCTCATTGATGTGTGATGTAGTTTTGCCAAACTTTTGTTACCTTTTTTTTTAGGGACACGAGTTTCCTCTGCGCATTATTTCGTCAGTTGGTTGTGCGGTTTCTCTTCTCGGTCTTGTCATAACTCTGTTCGTCCATTTTATTTTCTGGAGGTAGGTATTGTGGAAAGCGGGAGAGAGAGAGAGAGAGGGAGGGAGGAAGCCACAGTGGATTGGTGCATGTAGCCCTGTGTGGCTTTACAGAAAATGGCAGATGATTGGTTCTTTTTATCTCCAAGGAACTTAAAGTCAGAGAAGACGATTATTCACGTGAACCTATGCGTTGCTCTTTTGACTGCCAACATCATTCTCCTGGCGGGTTTGGAGAGTACCAAGTATAAGGTGGTTATTAGATGTAAGAGGGTGAAATATGAAAAATAGGAAGGAGGGAGGATGGAATAAAGGAAGGAAGGAAGGCAGGAAGGAAGGAAGGAAGGAAGGAAGGATGGATGGAAGGAAGGATGGATGGAAGGAAGGATGGATGGAAGGAAGGATGGATGGAAGGAAGGAAGGAAGGAAGGAATGGATTAAAGGAAGGAAAAAAGGATGGATACGTGCATGCAAGTGGATATTTGATAAGAAAGAAAAAATGAGAGAAACGAATGAACATTAAAAGAGAAAGGAAAGAAAAAAGGAAATGAAAGGAAATCAAGAGGAAAGAAAAAAATAGAGGGCGCAATGAAGGCTAGCATCTTTCCCAATGTACAAGTGATTTGTTCAATAACTTGTGTTGCACATGTTCGTACCTTTCAGTCATTATGCACAGCTGTAGCAGTCCTGTTACATTACTTCTTCCTATGCGCCCTGGCCTGGATGCTTGTGGAGGGAATACAAATATACGTTGCCATAGTGATGGTTTTCCAATTCGAGAGGAAACGAAAATATTTCTACCTGATTGGTTGGGGTAAGGACACTTGATTCTTATTCACGTGATTAATATCTGCCAGGATAATTCTATGTTACCATGGCAACCATGGTCTTAAGGGTTAATGATAACCTTAACTTGTCAGGTACGCCGTTGATGATCGTCGGGATTTCAATGGCTGTGACACAGATGAAAGGATATGGAGGAGAAAATGCGTAAGTCTTTGCAGTAGCTGTTATTACAGTTGAGCCCACAATGAGACATTCTATTGTTTTGAGAATCATACAAGTGTGGCTATCGAGTCGATACAATGCTTGTTGAGTCATTTAAATCTCATTTGCATGCATCCACAATATCTGCAATTTAATCCATATTTATCTAAATGAACCCAACCTCGTGGAACTCTTTTACTCTCGACCCCTAAACTCTGTATTTCTTTCTGCGCATACTTCTTGAAATGACGGAGACTCAATCTCGTTCCCAGAGCCTGCGATCTCTTGGTCAGCAATGTTCTCATCGAGCATGCACAGTAAGAAAGACAGGTCAAAAGTGGAAGTCTGTATGCGACGCGCCTGCACCACAGGGATCCCATTATGTCTATCCTAAGACGATCTATGTTTAAATCTTTTTGTTTCAGTTGTTGGCTGTCCAGTGATGGTGGTTTGATTTTCGCCTTCATTGGACCCGTCCTCGCAGTTGTACTGGTAATAGCATTTGTAATTTCTTTTTTATGAGACTTTTAATCACTAACAAGTTAATTGTATCAACATTAGTATCATCAACGTCATATTTTCATCATCGTCATCCAATTATCATTATCAGACATCTCTATTACCATCATCAGCATCATTCATCATCACTCTCATCAGGCATCATTGTTGTCGTCGTCATCTCACCATCGTCGTCATCACCATCATCATCATCATTGTCATCATCATCATCACCATCGATATCATCACCATTATCCCCATCCCCATCATCACCATTATCACCATCATCATCATTATCATTATCATTATCATCACCATTATCCCCATCACCATTATCATCACCATCGATATCATCATCATCACCATCATCATCTTCGTCATCGTCATCAATATTAGGCACCATCATCAGTAGCTGCACCACCATCATCTTCACCATCATCTACGTCACTATCACCACCATCGGATTGATTTCTTGATTTTCATTTCAGGTCAATATCATAATATTTATTCTTGTTATGCGCGCCATGATGACAACACATAAAATGATATCAGCGGATGAAATCCAGAAAGCCAGGTAACTAACTATATATATGTATATATATATGTGTGTGTGTGTGTTTGTGTGTGTGTGTGTGTTTGTGTGTGTGTGTGTAAAGTGAAGAAATCGCACTACCATAATTCGTTCTCTACACTGTCCTACTCGCGAGCGACTACACACACTCACACACACACACACTCACATACACACACACACTCTCTCTCTCTCTCCCTCACACTCTCTCTCTCTCACACACACGCACACACACACGCACACA